CGTGTTTGTGAGAGAAAGAGAGTGAGAGAGAGAGAGAGTTCCCAAACATAATCAGAGTAGTTAAAGCATCTGAGTTACTTTTCCAATTTGCTTTCCTCCAAAACTTGGGATTCTAAATTTCTTTAAAACCAATTTGAACATTAACATAAAAGAAATCGGCCACTAGGACCCCAGCAAAATCTAGAAATGAAAAAGGAGAAATCACACTTGAGGCAGAAACTTGGCAAATAAAAAAGAAATGTAGCTCCATTGAAGTTGTCAACAAGGAACAAACAATACTAAAACACAAGAATGGGAATATAAACTATGGCATTCAATATGAAATATCCTGAAGGGGAAAAAAACAAATTCACTAATAAACATATTGAATAATGGCAAGAAGTCCATTTCATGGAAAACAAGATGAGTGTATACACTTAAAAGAGTTTTAAGTTGCAGTGCTCTAGCAACATCTACAGTTCAGGTTATTAACCCCTTGAAAATACGAGAAATCAATGACCCAAACTCATTTTCGATCGTTCTCCAGCCACTTGAACCAATTGAAGTCCCCAAAGATGCTCATTTTCTCTAGATTCCCCAGCCAAAAAACAGAGCATAAGCCAAGTCAGGGGACCAGGCAACTCCAATCCGTTAAAACCACTCTCAGATGCCCCCCCCAATTCAAAGTTTCTTCGATAAGTTCCACCCTACTTATAGTTCCACAAAAGAATTCACAAGTTGCCCTGTCAGGAACCTCATATCCATAATTTTGCATAGTAATTGATGTATTCATGAAGAACAAAACCAAGATAAATCCAGTATTTCTCCTGCTTATTCGAATTTCCAAGGAGCACCAAATCCAATATTGGGCTCACCATTTCAAGATAATCTACAAGCATGGTGATGTATGCAATTTATAGAGCAGGATCTACATGCTCCTCTATACAACGGAGAGCCCATAAAAGGGCAATTACCTTGCTCTTACAAGTATCTCCAAGTGTATAATTAGCCTGCCCCAACAAATCTCCATAGCTCAAGCTTTGAAACCCAAGTTCGAAAACTCGAAGAAGCTCACCAAATTACCAAGTATCCCCTCTACTGGATTGTCCTCGTGAGTTTACATTTGGAAATAAAAATGGTTGCCGTGTAATTTAGGCTACAAAGCTTGAGAAGCTCAGCTGACCTCTGTTTCAAAGCAGGGTTACACCCACTCTGTATAACAAGCAAGAGCTTAGCAGCTAACCCAGCCTCAACAGCCAAAGCTGCACATTCTTCAGGTGCAAGCTTACAGATAGCCCACAAAATAGATAGAGCATATTGAGTACAAATCTCTGAAACTTTCATCAAAAGCTTAACTAAATTTGGGATGGATACAGGGCAATCCTTTAAAGCCATGCGGCCCTCTGGTACAGAGGATAGCAACTCTAATATTGAAAGAGCCATCTCTAAACAATCTGAATTAGCATTTGGTAGAAGCTCAACCAATTGAGAAACGGCCCCAATTCCCACAACTAGGGTTTGAACCTGCTTATAAGAACACAAAATCCGCAACAAACCAAGACCAGCGGCTATTCCATTAGGGAACCTTCGATCCTTAACTAAACGAAGGAGACCAGATAGTAAGCTAAGGCTTGAGCCAATCTCGGAACCAAAATCCTTTTCATTTATCAGAATCTCTATAAGCCTCGTGCAATTGATTTTGGTCTCCAATGTCCCCTCATTGAGCATGTCCACTATTAAAGATACCTTTGCAGGTTGCGTAAGACTGGATTTTACCTCTGAATCTAAAGTAATATTGACCAGAATTGCAATGGCTTCAGAACCAACCGCATGTGAAGTGAAAGGACCCAAGAGAGAGGAAATTAGAGATACCCCATTTTCATCAACTACTGTTTTTTTTGCTGATTCGTGAGCTGAAACGACTTGGTGAAGCTCCTTTAAAGCCTGAACCCTGGTTTGGCCCTTTGCCTTTTTCAGGGTTTCCAATAACTCCTTTACCCTACCTTGAACATCCTCTGATCTCTTCTTTTGATACAAATATCTCTGAGAATACCATGAATATATAAGGTGGTGTAGGGTTTTGTTGGGAGTAATAGAATCATCCCAAAGCTCTTGCATGGTGGTTGGGCAAGTGAGATGACCCATTGAAAACCATTTCATAATGTTCGCACGATCGTAGGTTTGGCCGGTACATAGAGTTACAGGGTCAAGCATGGGCTCCAGCGAAATGGGGCAAATGAAAACACAGGGGATTTCGACACAGTCAAGCTCATCAATCATGGTTTTCAGGTCTATTTTCTCTCTAAAGCTCTCTTCTTTCTGGTTTATCACAGTGTGGCTTTCGAGATCCAGAGCACAGAGTGTGTCATACCTGATCTCTCCATCCCTTCTCCAAACCGGTAACTGAAATAATGGCATCTGAGCAAACTGATCTCAACACCCACCAAAGAAATGATGGATTCAAGAAGAGACCCCCCAATCTAGAGAGAGAAAGTGAGTGGTAGAGGAAGAAACCTGAAAGTTCTGAAAGAGCAAAGAACCCTAAAAAGCCCAGGAGCAAAACCTGCAAAAGGAAACCCTTCAAAGGGACAAGCTGGTCCCAATAGATGGGCTCCCTTTCTCTCTCATTGACTAGAGAGAGAAACAAGGTCCTACCAAAGAGAGCACCAATCAAGCAAACCTTTCATGGGGTTTCTGCTTTATCTGATTTCCAGTCAAAAGAACCATCATAGACATATAATCCCCTCAGCCCTAAAACCAAAGTGAAAAAGCAACAAACCCCATGGTCCACAAAAACGGGAATCATCAAAAGAAGATTAGATAGAGAAAGAGAATAAAGTGACGCCCTAATCCACAGTGAACCTCCCAGATTCAAAGCCAAAAGCCACACCCCTAAAACCCTAACCCCACAAAAACAAAAGCCCCCAAAAAAACTGCACTCTTTCTCAAAGATCAGGCCCAATGTAGACAGAAAAACTGAGAGAAAAAAAATAGAAATGCAGAAAATAAAAGAATTGAATCAAATAAATGGCCTCATAACCATGAACATACCAGCTCGAACTTCAGAAAGAAAACCCAAACACCGCAATGCCGGTTTGGAAGGAGAAAAGAGAGAGTTTTAGAGAGACAGAGACCTGAGGAAAAAATACACCCCTCAAACTCCCAGCGAGCAGTACTGGTCTCTCTCTCTGCAAAGCATCCAGAAAGAGACCCCCTTTCTAGAGAAAAAAATGAAATTAAAAGTTTTAAAAAAATATATATAAAATCAAAAAAAAAAAATCAAAGTTTAAAAAAAAGAATAGAAACCGGTTGCAACCGGCTATAGCCGGTCACCCGAGCCTCGACGCGCGCACCACACGTGCAGTCATGTCACCTGTCACCGTGAGCTCCAGTCGCGCTTATTTTTGTAAGCAAAAGCCATTAAAAATAAAAGTTTTTCAAAAGAGAGTGGGATTTCATGACGGAAATACCCCTAGATTTTCCCACCCCTCCCCACGACCGTACGCGTCAATGAAGGGTTAATATGGGCATATTGAGCCTGGGGAGGGAATATTTTTCGAATATAAAAAAGGGAGAAATGGGACCTACCTTTTTTTTGTAAAGTGCCAACTCAGCAGATTTGACCGGCGTTTATGGGTTTGACTGTACCCCTCGCCTCGGGCTTATCCGGTCTTCGGTTGACTGCTTTGCATGGCGGGTCGTAGAAACTTGGCATGCTCGCCCGGTATCCAATAAGATCCTGACACGTGTCCCTTCATCCCTAATTTAAACTTTATTGATCGATTAGCGGGGGAGACTTAGAGAGAGAAAGAGAGTATCACAAATGTGATGAGCTTCATTAGGTTTGAGAGGAGAGTAGAGAGAGAAAAAGAGATCAGACTGTAGAGAGAGAAAGAGATAGACGTGACGGGGTTTAATTAGTTTGTTAAATGGTATTTAAGTTGTGAGTAGGCGTTTGATTGATAATTAATAGGGTTCATTCTCACGCACCATTTCCTCTCTCTCTTACTCTAATGGTTTGGTGATTATTGATAACAATAGAAAGAAAAATGGTTTGGTGATTATTATATTTGAAGTAGTGGTGGCTTTGTTTGTAATCTATGGATAGAATATTATTCAATTTAATGATAATGAGTTTCTCTTTTGCAATTGTAAATCCTTTCTCATCTAAAACAACATTGAATTAATCTCTCGATATGTCTCTATCGTATGAATAAAAAACATCATTGTCACCAAATTTTTTCTCAATTGATTGGGTTTATTTAAATAAATCTTGGTCCGTCATTCTGCTTTATCAATGAGATCGTAAGTTCTCGTATCGTTTATCATTACTTCTAACCATGTCTTTTTGGGCTTAACACTTGTGAGAAATACTGCTTGCCCTTTTTAAGCAACCACACATGTAAATCATTTCTCATCTATGTAGAATGTTGAATTGTCCTTAGTAATTTGGGTACTATTCATTTGAGTAGTACCAAGTTTTTGCACAACCAAGCAATAAATCTTTTCTTGTCTATGTACAACAATGTAATATTCTCTCTCTTATTTTTGCTATTTCCACAATGACTTGCATTCTTATTAATAAGCCCTTATTTTTTTTTTTTTTTTTGGGTAATTATGGGGAAGACATATCCCTATCTGTTTTTTATTTTTTCAAGTAGATTAGGAGTTAGCTTTTTGAAAGTATTAGTGGGGTAGTGTTCGCGGTGTGGAGTGTTACTACTACGACCCTAGCTTAATAGGGTGTGGGGTACTACCACTACGACCCCAGCTTAATAGGCCGTTTGCATGTTCAAGTTGTGGTTTTGATTCATATCCTCTATATGTAGATTTTAGGATATGCCAAATCATATTTTAGGGACGATGTTGTTTGGATAGTTTTTGTAAAATCAAGTTTTAAGTATCTTAAAAATCTGAATTGGACCCTCAATTGCGAGGAGATGATTCTCATTCACCCTGTCCAAATCAAGCACTCTCCTGCTCATACATATTTATAGATATGAAACTCCAAATAGGCGGACTCGACTGTTTGTGATGTTCACTATAACCAAATCAACCCTAATATGTTCCAGTTCAAATTAAGAACCTGTGAATTTCTAACATTTTAAAGCTGGGCATGGAAATAATATGGGAAACTGTATGGAAAATTTTATGGTCCCCCCACAATAGCAATCTGCGCACCATATCATGCTGTGTGTGTGATAATTGGAGCCATTTTCGTGCGTGCATATTCACAGTACTTGTATGAATACACATATTTCTAACATGTGAGCTATATGAAGACTGGATTTATGAAATCAAGAGTATGGAGAATGAAAAAACATAAAAAATAAATAAAAAATTAAAAAGCATGAAATTTAAAGGTGGAAAATGAGAACAGGCTCAAGTTAGATAATATTTACATGAATACCTATCATGTAAGCTATCATCATCTAAAATGAGAACGGGCTTAAGTTAGATAATATTTACATGAATACCTATCATGTAAGCTATCATCATCATCGTCCAAGTCTTTTCCTCAATGAAGCCATAAGTCAACATATCTTTTCTCATTATACGAATTCTGGCACACCATTTTACTCTTTTAAAATCTATATCATCAATGAAGCCATAAGTCAACATATATTTTCTCACTACTTCTAACTATATCCTTTTGGACCTACCATTTACTAGTTTTAAGGTTTCCAATGGTATTAAAGCCAAAAAAACTGAACCCAAACCCAACATGAATAGGCAGATCAAAGGTACTAAAATATTTCTAGAGAGTATAGTCTATGGTGGAAAATGAGGCGTGCTTAGGTCCACAGAAAGGCCAATTAGGAGAAATAACTTGTCAAATTGTCGACATTTATCTATTTATTTGTTGAATGTTGAGTGTTTTTGTATTACTATAAAACAAAATGTACATTGAGTCCATGTATAAAACGAAGGAGACTTCACTCTGTACAAAAAGGAAATGGATTGGATCGGATCTGGATTTGAATTTGAAAAGTGTACATGGGATCTAGATTGGATCTAGATCCTATCAGATCCAAAATATCCAAATCTTGATCTAAATCTGGATCTGGATCCAAAAAATATACATGGGATCGGGATCCAGATCAATACCCGATCGAATCTGAAAAATTATTTTATATCTATAAAATAATATATATCAAAAAATACTACATAACATATATGTATATTATAAAATAATGTATAATATTTTAATAATTGGGTACCAGATCGGATCCACTTATACCCATATCTAATTCAAATTACTATTTAGATCCAAAATTTAGATCTGGATATAATGCGTCAGGTCCAAATCTTGAATCTATACCTGGATTTGGATAAGGTCTGGAATTCGGGATTCATATACAAACCAAGTAAAATAACCGTATGGGTCACTCATCTCGCGAGCATCCTTGGCCATGGGATACACCGAAAGAAGGGTCCCTACAAAAAATTGTAGCACAAGAAATCAAAGAGAGATACGAAAAGAAAGGAAGAAGCAAGAAATAAAAAAGGTTGTTAAGGCATTAAAAAAAAAAAAATGTTACCATTTTTGTGCCATTCATAAGCCATTTCCTTGAATGGTGAGGTTTTGTATAAGTCCCACTCTTTTTAATTAAAAGGCATACATCGAAATTTTTTTTTGGAGACGCAGTTTTGAAAGCTTTTATAAACTTAAATCTTCAAAAACCTGTATAAATGAGTAAAGATATAAATATTTGAAAATCTTGAAAATAGATGGTCCAAATAACTCATTACAAGTCAGATTATTTTTAAGAATTGAAATTATTACCTTTTTTTTCATATCTACATAACTTATGGTCGAGATGATCAATTGAAAAGTTCTTAAACATCTGAACACTTTTGGAGGATTTTGAGGTGCGCCTTACTTCAATAGTACAAGGTCGCAACCGTATAGAAACTTTTTCCCGCCTCAAAGCCGGCAAGAAGTTGGTGACGTTAGGAGCGCCATTAACTTTGATGTGGTATAGTAGAAACAGCGGCGCACGTGAAAGGGCCCTACAGAGCGCGTGACACTTCGGAAATAGTAAATATATTAAGAAATTCAGAAAATAACTTCCCAAGAATCTCTCGCTCCCTGCACAGAATATCAAGAGTACCCCAGCCTAAAATTTTAGCGATTCATCTAAATTCTGAAGTATTATTCTTTCAACCAAAATTTGAGTGATAATACTAGGCCAAAAGATATTATTTTTGGTCCATTTACTCCCTTGGGTAAAACTTTGTCTAGGCTTAATTTGAGGACCCTAAATTTTGGGGTTGTAACCTCTTTAATTTATGATTATCTTAATAAAAGAAATCTTAATAACACCCTTTATACAATTGAAAACAATAATGTCTCAAGATTGAATAGTGTACGTCAAATTTTAAGAGGGTAAGATCAAAGTGTTAAAAAACTTAAAACTTAAAAAACAAAAAGCGGTAGGGGGCCTTCTCCCCCACTGACTTACTCCAAAAAAAAAAAACTTAAAATTCATTTTTTTCTTCTTTTCAAAGTAACCGTCTAGTGATTCTTAGGTGGTTCTCAAAAGTTTATATTGAAAAAAATCCTCCAAATAGGTCTTTTAATTGAGGGAGTAGATATACATTACACTCTATGGGAGCATAGTATGCATCCTACTAGACTAGCAATTTATCGTGATTGATTTCCTAAACAGCTCGTTTCGGTATTAATGAAATTATGAGTAACAAAAGGAGAGTTTTCTACTATTCTTTTCCTAGAGAAAATATCAAAAAAGCAATTGAAACCTTAGTGATATGTCAAAACACCAGGAATTATACTTAAAGATATCTTTATTTTTTTTAATCAATCAGGTACATCCTAAAAAATTAAACAAAATTCTCAAATTGCCCATATTTAGAGTGGGAAAGCCAAAACTACTTGGGGACTTTGGTAATGTACTCTCCAAAAGGCCCTAACCAAATGATGATTGAGATAAAATTACCTTAATTGTTTTGGTTTCCCAACACCGATTAGAGACAATTTAGAAAAAAAATTTAATATTTTTTAATTACATACCTAATTGATATAGAAATTCAAAAGCATTACCCTCAAGTGTAAGTTATAATCATTTGACCCCTTGAGTGATATTATAAGGGTTTTCAATCCTTTTTTTGATATATTCAAAATTATATACTATAAAAATTTTTATATATTAAAATTTATATAAAAGAATAGCATAATCAGGCAGGTTGGAACCTCCGACTTCATAGTTA